TTCAAGTATAGCAGGGATTGTGTGGCTGGCGCGGGATCGGGCAGTGTTTCGTTCTGCTGTGCGTGGGGTCGCTATGAGTCGGAAACGACTCGACAGCACTTAACAACAACAACAACAACAACACAGCCAATTGTAAGTAGGAGGTTGAGGAAGAGAAATTCATGGTAACTTCTAAGTTTCTGAATTCATGGTGATATTCACTAAAATGAAACCACAGAAGAAAGAGTATGCTTTTTATTTGGTGGGAGAGTAATTGCTTGTTCAGTTTTGGATATGTTATGTTTGAAGTGCCTCTGGCTCATTCCAAATGGAGATATCTATGAGTTAGACAATATAAACTACTTATTTTTAATCCCATTCTTAGCTTTATGCACTTTTTAAATTTTAAAGTTAGATCAGTGAGAAAATACCTGAGGGTAGATAACTGCAAATAATCTATGTTATTAAAATGTTTAGAACTATATGGTGTTACAGAATCTATACAAATATCCTAGAGAGTATTTATGTAGAGTTAGTTTTGCACTAGAGTTGAAAAAATGGTCTGTCATATTAAAGTTTCTTAAAGTTCATCATAATGGATATTTTAGTTCACTCCTAACATCTCTTCTACTCTAAATCACAAGTCTAAAAACAAAAAAACCCCACCAAACTCACTGCCTTTGAGTCGATTAGACTCATAGCAACACCTCCTTGGGTTGCTAAGGCGGTATCTCTATGGAAGTAGATTGTCCAGTCTTCCTTCTGAGGAGTGGCTCAGTCTAAAATAGGGGCCAGCCAACTACAGCCCATTGGTCCAATCCAACACACTGCTTATTTTTGTAAGTAAAGTTTTATCAGAGCACATCCATACCCATTCATTTATATACTGTCTGTGGTTGCTTTCATGCTACAGTGACAGAACTGAGTTGCACAGGAACCATATGGCTACAAAACCTAGTATTTACTATCTGGTCACTTAGAAAAAGTTTGCAACCCTTGGTCTTAGATAATCGTGATATCATGTTAGCTTCACCCCTCTTGCTAGTGATTGGCTTAGGAATCAGCAGGTTGTTCTGTTTAGCGAGCAATGAAGGGAAGTCTGTCTGCTAGAGGCTTCTTGGAAAAATTACCATGCTCTGAAGAGAGAACCACAGAAATAGATGATTTCTCTTCTTCTGCTGGCCATTGTCATACATGCCTGAAATTGCTGTTGCCATCTAGTGAAAGGCGTGGATGAAGCCAACAGTGAGTAGGGCTGAAGAGGGAGATGGAAAAAAATCGGAGTATTTTTTGACATCTTTGAGCTAGTGATTATGCTGTGCTGGGAGCCTGTCCTGCCTCTGGACTTTCCCAGTCAAGTGAGAGAACATGTAATCATATTGGTGAAATCGTTTGGTGACAGAGTTTTATTCTTAGCCATGAAAGCACATTTTATTATTGTTTTTATATGCCTAGGAAATGACTGGAAGGATGATGACCAAAATATTGAAATTCCTGAGTGGTTCTTACTTTCTTTTTTCTAGACATAAGTATTTTTTTGTTTGTAATTTTTTCTGTTTATATTTTCCTTGTCTTTAAGCTGTTTAAAGTAGATTGCAGACTGGGAAAGATTGATCTACTTGGTGAAAATTTTAATGGGCACAGGAGCTATTATTCCATATGCAATTGTTTTTATATTTTTCAGATTATAAAGACAATGTGTTTAAGTACCTAAATAAGTAATCATGAAATGTTTCTGTAAATCTTTGTATTTTGCTATCACCATAAAATTTAATTGTGCATTATTATGCATGATTTTATAGCTACTACTATTTCTATTACAGAGTTAATTATGTGAGTTTATTACAGAGATGGTGATTATAACATCTGTTATTATAAATATGAATTATTCAATAGTACACAACTTTAGTTTATAATGCATTAAATAGATGGCATTTTAAAATGACTATTTCCTAAGTGAAATGATTTAAATAAATCTGTCAAAATTTATAAAATCAGAGGCAATCATCAAAGTGCTATTTTGAAAACATTGTTAAGAAGAAAATATATTTTCTTCTGTTATTGCTTTTTATTTTTATCTTTTGTAGGTAATCATAGCCAGCTGCTATCGCACACTCATGGGAATAATGAATTTATTTGGATTAGAAACTAAGACCTGCTGGAATGTCACCAGACTAGAACCTCTAAATGAAATTCAAAGCTGTGAAGGCAAGTTTCTTCCTAAAATGCTGCTATATTCTCATTAGTGCTTTCATAAAGATTTTATAATGTTATTACTCATTTTAAGAGTTACTGTACTACTGTAGTTGATTTTTTTTCTTTAAAACATCCTAGAACATATTCATGTAAATGAGTATTTTACCCTTTAGTTTTCTGAGAAGGCTATACACTTACTAATTAGAATATTAATTTGCAATTTCATTTGTGTATTGGTTTACTTCAGTGTAAGGCAATCCTCAATATAAGTTATTCCTCCATTTCCAGAAAGATAAGATTTAAATAAGATTGAATAATAAGATATTGAAATAAGATCGAATAAATAAGATTGAAATAAGATTGATAGGATAAGGAGGTAGTTTGGGTATTTAATTTTGGGACTATACAATAAACAGTCCAATATCTACTTTTAATATTTCATGTATTAATTTAGTTATGCATATATAATTTAAAATAAGATACAAAGCAATAGTTGGATTTAGAAATACTGCTTTTTTATACTTTCACAATCTATGAGCAGATTTAACGGAACTCTTCATATGCATTTGCTTCTACATTGGTGTCTTGGTAAAAGAACTGCTTTTGGAATCATCTAACAGTTTTACAGAATACTTAATAGTCACTTCTATTTAAGCTGTTTCCAATCCAGCACTTTTAGAATGCAAGTGTGATGTTGTTCCTTGAAACTCTTATTCCAAGCAATTTACATCTATTTGCCTAACATTTACACAGTTGTTTTCTCTTTATCTTGGTATGTTCTACACAGTCTACCTAGTACTGTATTTTACAAATATATTTTACAAACTATTTTCAGTAAAAATCAACTTTTGAAATATGTATTGAATCGATATTTCCCTTTCTTTTTACTGATTCATTCAGGTTGTTTGAGGGGCAATTTTACTTTTCTTACAAATTGAAATAATTTGAGAAAATGTCTCATAAAATAAAAAGATTTTTTAAGAACTTAACTGGAAGCTATACCTTTTAATGAAGAAAAGATATATACATATGACCATATACAGTGTTTAAAGTCCCCACTAAGGGATAGGTTAATGTTTAGCACTGTGGATCTAGAAGTGAACCAGGTAAATATTCTTATCCTTAAAGAATTTATGCTGTGAGAGGGATTTTAGCAGTTACAACTGTGATGTAACTATGAATAAGAAAATGCATGTTGCTGAGTTTAGGAAGGAGTTAAAGGATGAGAAGTGTTTCAAGAATAAAAATCAGTACAACCAAGCACCTTGAGGGTATGAATTGCTAGACCTCAGGGGCTAAGGATCATAGTCTTAGGGGACATCAAGATCAATTGGTATAACATAGTTCACAAAGACAATGTCCTACATCACACTTTGGTGAATAGCAACTAAGTTGTTAAAATCAGCCATCTAAGATGAGACTATTGGTCTCTTCCCATCTGGAGTAAAGATCGGTGAAGAAATCTAAGATGCAAGGAAAAAAATTAGCCAAAGGACTAATGAACCATGTGAACCTCAGCCTCTATGACTTTGAGACCAGAAGAACTAGATGGTGTCTGGCTACCACTGCAGACCACTCCAAAAGGGATTGCAATAGGAGGTCCTCAATAGAGTGGTTTAAAAGAAAAGAAAAAAAAAAAAAAAACATGGAACATAACTCAAAATAATAAAAAGACCAGACTTACTGATCCGATAGAGATTAATCGAACTCCCAAGTCTAAGACCCTTAGACACCCTTCAAGCCTGGAACCTAACTCACCCCCATGGCTCAACTTTTAGGGAAATGACAGACAGGAGAATTAGGTGAAAATTTTGCCAGGGAGGTACACACTTCTTAGAATGCAGCCACACAGATGAAAAGGGCAGCATTAGCCCAGAGATAACACTCTGAAGGCAGGAAGAGATAGGAAAGAAGGATGAATGGAAACAAATACAGGAAGGAAGTGGGAAGTGTTGTTACATTGTGGGGATTGCAATCAATGTCACGAAACAAAATGTGTGTGAATTATTGAGTGGAAAACCAATTTGCTCTGTAAACTTTCACCCAAATCACAATAAAAAGTTTAAAAAAAATGAATAAAAACCACCAGAATATTAGGCAAGAAGGAACTACAATAAGACTAGAATTCTTGGAGCAGAGAGATACAGAAGAAAAATAGAATGAAATGATGCTGGGAATGTAAGCAAGGGCCAGGTTATGAAGGGCTATACACTGTTTAAGGATTTTTTACTTTATATATCAAAGAATTTAAACAGATTTGCATTTTAATATGATTTGGCAGTTGTCTGGGAAAGATATTCCAAAACCAAAAAACCAAACTCACTGCCATAGAGTTGATTCCAACTGATAGTGACCTCCATTGGGTTTCCAAGGTGGTAAATCTTTGTGGAAGTAGATTGCCCCATCTTCCTTCTGCAGGAAAGATATTAGTAATGAGGACAAAAGTTGGTTCACAGAGGCCAGGCAGGAAGCTATTGTACTTTTAGTAATGACAGGAAGGATGACAGTGATATACATGGATTTGAGAGGTATTTTGCGGGTAGAATTTACAAGACTTGGCTATTTCTTAGTGGGAAAAGTGAGGGAAAGTAAAGAATCACATAACAGTGCTTGGTTTCTGCCTTAAGTAGTTTGGTACCTTTGAATGGTGGGAAACATTTGAAAAGGATTAAGTTAAAATTGTTGTATTTCATTTTGGATGTATTCGTTTGAGGCACATGTGAGACCTCAGAGTGGAACTGTCAAATGACTACCTGAGTATATAAGTATAGGGACAAAAAGATTTGGGCTGAGTATAGACTTGGTGTCATCTGTATACAGATGATCACTGTTGTTGTTGTTGTTGTTATGTGCCGTCGAGTTGGCCCCGACTCATAGCGACCCCTCCTTGGGTTTCCGAGGCAGTATCACTACGGAAGTAGGATTGCCCAACCTTCCTTCCGAGGAGTGGCTGGTGGGTTTGAACCACCAGCCTTCTGGTTAGCAGTCAAGTGCTTTAGCCACTATGCTACCAGAGCTCCTACAGATGATCACTGGGCCCATGGAAATGGAAGAATTTCCTTATGAAAAATTTGTAGCGTGAGGAAGGAAGAGGGCTTATGACAAAGCCCGAGGCAGTCCAAAATTGATAGAGTCCATAAAGGAAGAAAATTTACTAGATCGGACTAGAATGGAGTGGTCAGAGAAAATCAGAAAGCCCTGCCTTTCAGGTCTCGGCTCTGCCTGTTAAAGCTAAATAACTGATGGCAAGTTACTTAAGCATTCTATGTTCAGTTTTCTCAACCATACTAATCTCATAAATTTGTTTTGAAAGTTATATGAGATAATGATTGTATAGCAGCCAATAAGTGCTGTACACACACACACACACACACACACACTCATTTATGGGATAATATTCCAGCTATACAGATAACTGGTTCATTTCATATAAACTAAAGCTACTTCTTGAAGTCAGAGACCAGATCTTAACTCATCCTAGAGCCTAGTAAGAGATAAAAATAACACAATGGATTTTCTTTTGAATTCATAAAGTGCTTCTACAGATACTGTATAATAGCAGCATCACCTAAAGAAATATGAAGCCCCAACAAATCATTACAATATAATAATACATCATATAAAAAGAAAGTGTAAATGTAACTATCAAAGAGCAGCAATCTGAAAAGCAGTAAATTTATGAGCTTTTGATTATGAAGTACTGAAATGATTACACCTAATCGCTTTATAATCATTTATTCACTAAGTACTGGATCATCTGTGTCTTTTCAAAGGTCTGGGAGACCCTGCTTGCTTTTATGTTGGTGTGATTTTTATTTTAAATGGAGTAATGATGGGATTGTTCTTCATATACAGTACATACCTGAGGTAAGACTACTGTACTAAAAGGTCTTTTGGTGAGCTTATGAGAACTGGCTTACATTTGCAGGTTGAATAAGAAGGATAATTAAACAGATTAATTGATAGTAGGAGAGCTTGTGGATTTATTTTTCAGAAACTTAGCCAATATATATCATAGAACCTGCAACTAGAGATGTCACTACAATACTAACTTGAACACCTCCTTTTTATTCTTGTGAAGACATTTTTTTAAACTCATTATTTCTAAACAGAGTTTTAAATGAAAATGTTTTTAGTTCATGTGCAAAATTATTGAAACCTTAGAGATCTTGGGTTGGCTTTAGTAGCACATTATTCCTGATTTTAGTCTTTGTAATGTAAAGTTGAGAAATCAATAAAAGAAAATGAGTATCAGTTGTGGTAGACACTTTTATTTGCCATCCACTCTTTTTTGATAAAAGTACCACAGTTTTGTTTGTGGTGTCAGTGTTCCCAGTCTCAAGTGATTATGTCAATAATTACAACCATATATTCTGCTTTTCCAGTCTCCACTGCACTTTGGGATCACCATGTGAGCTAGCTTTTGTCAATGAAAACTGAGGGAAGTCTGCTGGGGTTACATCGAGGAAAGCTTTTGCTTTTCTCACAGAAGATTCAGTTGTCCAGTTTCTGTTCCTTACTGTTTTGAGTTGGACATGATTGATACCTGGAGCTTCAGCAGTCATATTGTGACCATGAAGGAAAGAATATAAAAATAACAGATATATCTTTCCTAACTCTTTGTCTTGAAAGAAGTACAGCAAGAGTACCCCTTAGAAGTGAGGATGGTGAGACTTCACGTCATACACTTGGGACATGCTATCAGAAGGGACAAGTCTCTGGAGAAGAATATAATGCTTAGTAAAGTAGAGGGTGAGAAAAAAGGAGGAAGACCCTCAACAAGATGGACTGACACAGTGGCTGCAACAATAGGTACAAATATAACAACAATTGTGGGGATGGCATGAGACCAGTCAGTACTTCGTTCTAGTGTATGAGTTGGAACCAACTCTATGGCACCTGACAACAAGAGCAAGAACACATCATTTTGTGCTGCTAAACCAATGTCATCAGCCACTTGTCTTTCAATTTCTTGTTGAATAATATAACATTCATGTTGTTTAAGTCAATTTGGTCAGATTTTCTGTTTGGTACAGATGAATACACTTCTAACTGAATCACCAGTTTTCTTTACAATGTTATTCTTGAAATGTACTACACTTAAAGTTAAAAATCTAGATTTAATCCTTCAACAAGTACTTACTGATTTTTACATAGAGTTTATGTCTATATGAAGGAACCCTGGTGGCACACTGGTAAGCATTTGGCTGCTAACCAAAGGTCAGTGGTTTGAACCCACCAGCTTCTCCACAGGAGAAAGATATAACAGCCTGTTTCTATAAAGATTACAGACTTGGAAACCCTACAGGATAGTTCTATTTTATCCTATAGGGTTACTATGAGTTGAAATCACCACATTTTTTTTTTTTCACGTGTATGTAGATATCAATAGTTCTATGACTAAACCTTGTTTTATATAGTTACATTCATTGATTAAACAGATATTTGTTAAATGCCTACAGTGACCAGGAGCACTGTTCTTGATACTGGGAAAATAAAGCAGTCTCTCTCTTCGTGGAGTTTATATTCTAGTGATGATACAAAGACTAATAAGATGGACAACTTAATAGAACAATATACAAATTATGTATGAACAGATTACCCAGAAGAGAAACTCCTGATGGTCAATAAGCATATGTAAAGTTGCCCACCATCATTAATTATCAGGAAAATACAAATTCAAATCACAATAAGATACCATTTCACATCTACAAGATTGGCAAAAGGAACTTTCATCCACCACAGCTGGGTATATAAATTAGTACAACTATTTTGGAACAGTGTGCATTGCTTAGTAAAGTTGAAGATATGCATACCCTCTGACTCAATAATTCCAATTTAAAGCATATATTCCTAGGAAACTCTTGTGTATGTACACCAGGAGTTATGTTTGTAATAGCTCCAAAATGGGAACAATTCAAATATCCAATAATAGATAAATGAATATGTCATGTTTATTAATATAGTGGAATACTCTACAACAATGAGAATGAATGAACTACTCTGGTCACGTAGTGCCTAAGGCACTTGACTACTAACCAGAAGGCTGGCGGTTCAAACCCACCAGCCACTCCTCGGAAGGAAGATGGGGCAATCTACTTCTGTAGTGATACTACCTCAGAAACCCAAGGAGCGGTCGCTATGAGTTGGGTCTGACTCCACAGCACATAACAACAACAACAACAACAACAACAAATGGACTGATCTTACAAATATGATATTGAATGAATGAAGCCAGGCACCAAAGGAAAAAAGTACTGCATACATCTATTTGTCTAAAGCTTTTAAACACAAGAAAGTAAATGATATTGTTTTATATGTATATGTTGTTGCTGGGTGCCGTTGAGTCAGCTCCGACTCATAGAGAGACCCCATGCACAATAGAATGAAACTCTTGTCTGGTTCTGTGCTATCCTCACAATCCTTGCTATGCTGGAGTCCATTGTTGCAGCCACTGTGTCAATCCATCTAGTTGAGGGTCTTTCCCTTTTTTGCTGACCCTCTGCTTTACCAAGCATGATATCCTTCTCTAGGGAGTGGTCCCTTCTGATAACATGACCAAAGTAAGTGAGATGAAGTCTGGCCGTTTTCACTTCCAAGGAGCATTCCAGCTGCACTTCTTCCAGGACATATTTGTTTGATTTTCTGGCAGTCCATGGTATTTTCAATATTCTCACCAACACCACAATTAAATATGTAGGGGTTCTACTGATAATCACAAAAATCAACATATTGGCTATTGGGAGGGGGAAGGGTTAGCAAGTGGGGATTCTAGTTGCAGTCAATTTCAATTTTAGTTACTCATATTGTGGTTGCATGGATGTTCATTTTTTAATCATTATTTGATAAACTATCTAGAAGTTTTTACACTATTTTCTATATGTATACCACATAGGAAGATGATACATAAAAAGATATCACAGATACAAAAACTAAAGTTAAGGAGGTAAATATCACTTCAAAGTTATGTTTGCAGGCTTAAAAATGGACTATTTTGAGAGTAGTTTGTATTTCTTAGTCTTTCTTTTTAAATATGAAATATGTATATATAAAGTGTCTAAAACTTTAAAAATGAATATTTTTCATTGAGAGAGCTACCTAAGAGATAGTAGTCCTCTCTAAATTGGTTACACCAAATACATTTTTTTAGACGTCAGTCTTTAAGAAGGATATGTAGCTGTAACAAATATTGGCTATAAAAGTATCACCCAAACTGAGGAAATTGGAAAAGATGGCATATAAAAAAAATAGGAATTTCGAGTAAAACTTTATTTTCTTGTTCTGGTAGTCCTCTCCCACTGGCATTACCCTGAAGGATAGACACTCCATTTCTGTTATTTTAGTGGTTAACCATAAAATGTCAACATGTGTATTTAATTTGTTAAAAGTTTGAATGAATTGATATTTTCTCTTCCTTATGAACAACACAAGGAACTTTAGAACACTTTAACTCAAAACAACTCTTCCCATCTTATATATTATTACCAATTTTAATTTAGTGCTCCTTTTGTTCCTTCCTAGCAAACATTGTTACGGTTTTATGTTGTCAAATCATGATTAGATCTCTTTATTCCTAATTTCTCTATTCACTCTTTGTTCTTGCTCCTCATACCCTTTGTTCCTTCAACTTTCTTCCATTTTGAAATGCAGCCTTTGGCTATCATTTAGTGAAAGTATGTAAGTGGTAAATAATTTCCATTAGCCTTTCCTGTCTGTTGTGTGTGTGTGTGTGTGTGTGTGTGTGTGTGTGGTATTTTTCAGTTTCGTTTTTCACTCATTCTTACTTTTCTTCATTCATCCAACAAATATTTATTACCTCCCATATGTAGAGCTGGAGATACAGCAATAAACAAGACAAAGTACCTATTTTCAGAATGCTTAGAATATGGTGGACTAGGGAAGTAGGGAGCTCTCCTAGCATAGTGCCTAAGGCACTTGGCTGCTAACCAGAAGGCTGGCGGTTCAAACCTACCAGCCACTCCTCAGAAGGAAGGTTGGGCAATCTACTTCTGCAGTTATACTGCCTTGGAAACTCAAGGAGGGGTCACTATGAGTCGGGGCTGACTCAACAGTAAATAACAGGGAAATAGGTGTGAAAGAGGTTTATAGAGAGATATTAAAACACTACATAAATGTAGTTCTGAGTGTCTTTGTTCACAGATACACAAAAGAAAAGGTGGTTTTGAGAAATTATTTTTTGCTGATTATCAGCTCTCCTTTCACATGCCCTGGAGAAGAGTATCATGCTTGGTAAAAGAGAGGGTCAGAGAAAAAGGGGAAGACCCTCAAGGAGATGGAAGGACACAGTGGCTGCACTGAGGGACTCAAGCCTAGCAAGAATTGTGAGGATGGCTCAGGACTCAGTATTTCATCCTGTTGTACATAGGGTCGCTATGACTCGGAGACAACTTAGTGGCACCTAACAACAACATCAGCTTTCCTTGCTAATTTTTTTTTTTTTTTATCTTCTACACCATTGCTTCTGTAGGACTGAAGAAAGGAATTTCTGCTAAATGACATTATTAGACTCTTTTCTGCATCTCTCAGACACTGAAGTCCAATTGCAAAAGACAAAATTTGTCTTCCTTTGGGTATTTTAAGAGTGTGATATAAACACTGAAGTGCTGACATGTTTGTTACAGATTATTTTATGTTCACACTTTAGAAAGTATTTTGTTGTTGTTGTTAAGTGCCGTCGAGTCGTTTCTGACTCATAGTGA